CATAAAGTTAAATAATTAAAATGACATCATCATACCATCATCATGGGAATAATATTCAAAAGGCATAATTGGTTACAAAAACTTAAACATTTACATAAAAATCTCCTTATTGGTCAAATGGAAGTAAGGTGTGTCTATGCAATAGCGTCACATATTTACTTGACATGACCCAAGGCATATCGGCTAAAGCTTGTTCTCACCCAAACAAAAGTATTCATTACTGATATGAGTCTAAAATCTTATCTGACCCAAACATTGAAAGGTTTGCCCTAAGAACTACAGAATCATGAACTTTGTACCCATTATGTTGTCTGCTAACAATATCAGACCTACAAGAGGAAAGCCTTCTGTATAACAGGCCTTTCTAACATCCTAATAAAATATTACTTAAAGAATAAATCTATAAAAACCAGAGAAATATGAATAATCAAAACAGGGGAAAATCTTTATAGTCCCATCTCTACTACACCCTTCCAAGTACTTGCTTCCGAGATCTGACAAGATTGGGCTTGCCTGGGCTATTCAGGTCAGGGCTTAAATGATGCATTTTAAATGGTTAAATACTAAAATAAGTTTAGGTTTGATAGGAAAGTAAGTGTTGCATATATTTAATTTCATGGGGGAATTTTTGTGGCTTCAAAATTGCCAGAAACTTTACATCTCTACATAGAACTTCTATGTAGTTAAAGGCATCTGGTAGAATAATAGATAGTTACTATTCTGCCATGTTTTACTTGGTACCAAGAACCCTTTGATTTCAATGGCTTGCTTTCATATAATGCCCTCAGGAAGTCAGTCTAATGCTGATCAGAACTGGAGTCCAATAGCACCTTAAAAATTAACAAAATATTTTAAGGGTTTATACTCGCTTCATCAGATGAAGCTTGCGTCACCAGATAACAAACAAAGTGAACATTATCTGATGGGGAGCTTTGATTCACAAAAAATGTGGTTGGTCAATGAAGTGCAATTGGACTCCTGTTGTGTTTTTACTACTACAGACTAACATGACTGCCCACCTGAAACAGTCTATTGCAAGTGTATTTGATAGTTTATTTCATTAAAAGTAGTGGGGGTCTTTCTTCCAAGTAAACGTGTGTAGGATTTGGTTGCACTGTAGAAATAATTTTATTTTTCTCCCTCTCCAAAATTGTTAGGTTGGTGATGATAAAACCGTGAAGCATTGGAAGATGGAGGGGCCAGCTTATGGCGTACCAGAAGAACCAATACATACAATTCTTGGAAAGGTATTAGTTTATTATCTTGCTTTCCTTTTCTTTCTTTGGTTACTCTTTAGATGTGAGTATTGTTTTTGTTTGTATATGAACAGCTGCACAATTAACCTTTGAGACTGGGGTTCCTTCCATAAGGAAGGTGACCTGGGAAAAGTGTTACTGTACAGCTGTATACTCACCAGTCAATATTTATGTAATTGATACTGCAGTGATGCTGTCCTGCCATACATCTTTTGCATTTGTTTTCTGGTACACAAAACCATAGAATGCAGCTGAAAATATTTTTACTAATAATGGGTTTGATCCAGTGCAGCATTTCCACTTGCACAAGGACTTCTGTCAAAGCAGTACAAGGGTTATCACCTTCCTCTTCCTATGGCAGACCCAAATGCCTCCCAAAAATCAGTTCCCCGGGGGGGGGGGGGTCCCCTTCCCTACGGCGTAGTGTTCTGCAATTTGAGCTGCTGTGGGGGAACAGGAGCTAGGAAAGTCATGCTCCAGTAGTGGAAGTCCTTGCACCCATTGAAATGCTGTGCTAGATCCCACACATTTTTTCTTGGAAGTGTGGTAAAAATGTATTGTGTTTCAGTATTAAAATTTTCTTAAAACTGAATTAAGCAAATAGTTTCTGTTAACTTTAAAAATAGTCACTCGTCTGTATTCAGCTGAGATGACTTGCTTGGTTTTTTAACTTACTGTGATTTTGATTATCAGACTCCTTCATTTACATATATATATTAGTCCCTCCAAAAACATAGTAGGTTTGTGTTACTAATATTGTTGTATACAGGAATGCGGCTGATTTTGTTGTCATTTTAATGTTTTTATTGCTGTATTTGTTTACTCAGTGAGCCATTTTAAATAGGTTTCTGGAGAGGCAGCATATCAGCTTTCTAAATCAATACCTATAATTTTATATTATTGCATTAAAACACAGGCTGTCTGTGTGTATAAAATCAATTGTTGATAACTATCATTTTTTGTATTTCAAAGACGGTGTACACAGGAATTGATCATCATTTGAAAGAGCCTATTTTTGCCACATGTGGTCATCAAGTTGATATCTGGAATGAACAAAGAACCAGTCCATTATGCTCTTTGACTTGGGGAGTTGATAGCATAAGTAGTGTTAAATTCAATCCAATTGAGGTAATAATGGGCTTCTGTACATTTCATTACAAATATTGCTGCAAAATGTTTTAATGTAAGGAACATGGTAAGCATTAATGCAAGAAGAACTGGAGTCCATACTGGGAAATTAAGACACAAGTGAGGAGAAAACAGAGGACAAGGGGAAGAGGGATAAAGGTCAGCCCATACTGGGAAATTAAGACACAAGTGAGAACAGAGGATAAGGGGAAGAGGGATAAAGGTCAACAGAAGGCACAGGTAGAAGGAAAGGCTGTGGCAGATCAGGCAAGGTTGCCCAAATGGATCTTTGGGGAGGATTTCGAAAAGGAGAGATGGTTGAATAGGAAGGGGGGATGTTCACATAAAAAGCAACAATATGCTGAAAGGTGGAACTTGAGGGGGAAGACCATAGGTGCCCCTCAGCATTGTACATAAAAATATCATAGGTGACAGATGATGTCGGACTCCCCTCTTCCTTCGCACCCTACAGCACCAGACCAGACTGGGCCTGGGGGATGCACCCTATAACAGCCAGTCTTGACAATCACAGCCACCAGATTATGCCCTGGAGGGGGAAGGAGGAGAGATTGTTCCAAGGCTGTTATTAGTCCCTCATGGGCTTGGTCATGGCCCCATAGGGCTTCTGGTTAGAGGGAGGCCACTGGGCTTGCATCGCACATGGCTAGGGCCTTTAAAAGGCCTGAAGAAGGAGGGTGTGCTAGCTTTGGCTCCCAGCACAGAGGGGAATAGAGCGAGGGGAGAAAAGGCGGGAGGGAGTGGTCTCTGTCCCCATCCCTCTCTGTCTGAGGCTGCTTCATTGAAGGTGGATGCTGGCAGATTCTGGCTTGGGTCCAAAACCTGACAAAAGAAACTCACAAGAGAGGAGAATATAGTCTGAAGGATAGAGGAAGAGAGATTTTGGGTTGGATCTAAAGATGACTTTCTCTAGTGGAAGGAGGGGAGGGTAACTGGAACTTACACTGTTTAAATTCAAAGATCTGAGTGTTAGTTGAAATTATTTGTAATATATCTGTTTCCTCTCAGCACCGGAAATTTGCTTAAAGGATCTATTTTTTCCGCCTAATTAGTTCACAATGTTTTTGAAATGTTTTTCAGATGTATCTTTTGGGAAGTTGTGCTTCAGACAGGAATATTGTGTTATATGACATGAGGCAATCAACAGCTCTGAAGAAGGTGATGTATGTTCTAAAAAACCTTGTGCGTGTGTGCGGTCCCATCGCCTTATCTTACAGAAGAAACGGACCGTTCTGTTCTGTGTCTCGGCAGATTCTTCTAAGTAAAACTTTTGTAGGAATCCTATGGTTCATGGCAAAGATAGTACAGCTAATACATTTGAAATGCTTTCAGATTCCATCAAAATGCATTCTGAAAGCTATTAATTAAAATAATATGGGTATATGGATGAAAATGTTCCTCCATCTGTGGGATAAGGTCTGTTTTCTTTAAACGTATGAAAACCATTTAGTTTTTCCCCCCTGAAATGCATTTTTTTAAAAAATGGATAGTTTAACATTCTATTAACATTGGATTATAATGTATTAATACTATGTACTGAAAGTTGGTGGTAAGGTTAGTACAGTTATTAGCTAAATACTAGTACAAAACACTGGTGTGCAAATAGTTCCTTTGTATAATGGGAGATTTAGAAGCCTCTTCAAGGTACAGTACAGAAGAAAACTATTCACTGACAGGGAATAATAGACTTTCTTCCTTGGATTACAATCTCCCAGCTGTCGCTGCTATTTACTGTTGCAGAGGTCTCCTTTCAAGTGAGACCATATAACATATGGACTGCTTAATACTTTGCGACTAATCAGCCTCCCACTAAGGAAGAGTCAGACTAGAGTGAGTTGTCAGTTTTATCCCTTCAGCATGAGGATCAGGTTAGTCTCTTTCAGAGCCATCTGTCATTTTACAAACTTGGTCATAGAATTCCTGAGCATCAAAACAAATCGCTGCCAGTGCATTCCAGGCTCTGTGTTTAAACTAACATAAATTTACAATATCCAATCTAATTACAGCCCTACCTGAAATACAGACGAGTCCTCAGCGCTGTAGTTAAGTTTTGATAATTGGTGTAGCTAAATTATGAAGCATATGGAGCCTAGTGGCTCGATTCCTGGAGTTGGACTGCGGAGACCCAAGTTCAAATGTTTCCTCAGCCTTGAAGCTCCCTGGGTGACCTTGGGTGGTAGTCACCCATTCTAAGCCTACCCTAACTCCTGAGTTTTGTGGAGATATGTATATAAGGGATATTTGAGATGGTGGATTGGGCCTGTCCTTTGCAGCAGTTTCATTTAATAAAGATTAATTGGCATAGCTGTGCAGCAATGCTGCTTTTTAATGAGATTATTGTGTTGATTATAGTTTATAAGTGGGGCTTCAATAAGGACTTGTGGGGAGCATTTCCTTTGCCCACTGTATCCCCCTGCCCCACACTATTTCCTCTTTCCCCACTTTTTTCAGTCTCTCCTGCCTGCCTTGGAGGCTTGGAGGGCTCAGGAATATTATGGTTATCTAGCAATCCCAATCTAGTCTTTGTAATTTCAGTAGGCATTAAGATACAGATTTCTGCTGCTATTATTTGGTATTTTTTGACCTGCCAATTTTTTTTTAAGATTTCAGGTTTTTCTACTAACCTGGGGCTTCCATCAGGTTTGTAGCAAAATCCATCCTATTTGTCCCAATTGTGTGGATTTTTGATCGACACTCTACAGCCTAGTTCAGAATTAGATATTATAATAATATGCAAAATTCTTGCAATTATCTACAGAGATTACAAGCATTTTTATAACAGTCACAGGAAATATATTTTTTCAATAGGTAGCTTGTATAAGCGATGAATATCGGGCCATAAACTGTTGTCACCTTCAGTATTTCTTCTAGATGGCAGTACTGTCACGAAATCTTAATTAACCCACAGGTTTTGTTCTGTTTTTTGGGCATGTCTGTTCATCTGATTCTATAGCTTGATAGTGGAGATGTGTGATACTTAAGTCAGCATTTTATGCTACTTGCACTGGCATATTGTGAAGGTTGCTTAGGTCATTGTTAACTTCCTATACTTTTATTCCACCCTTCTTACAAGGAGCCTGGGGTGGTGTATGTTGGTTTCCTTTCCTCCACATAATCCTCACAACAATCATATGAGGTAGGTTAGGCTGAGAGACAGTGACTGGTCCAAGGTCACCCAGCAATTTTAATACCAGAGTGTGGATTTGAATCTGGATTGTCTGGATCCTTCCATTAAACCATTTTTACATTTTTTATGGTTCTTAGTCCTCGTAATGATTATTAACACATTAGTATAACTTCTACAAGTTCTGTAACAAATAGTTAAAAATTCCTTTTAATCTTCCCGTATTTAATTTTTTCCAGGTTATCTTAGATATGAGAACAAATACTCTGTGCTGGAATCCTATGGAAGCTTCCATTTTCACTGCAGCAAATGAGGACTACAAGTAAGCATGGTCTCCAGTTTTGCTTACTCATTATGTAGGCTTCTGCCTTTTCATTTGTCTGAAAATTATGTTTTGATTTATGAGTCATGTAAATCTCCTGAGAGCTACCTTAGGTGTACCCAAGTGCTTGGGCATGCCCAGGTGTTTCCCCCCACTTTGAATTGTATACTCCTGTTCCATTATCACAAACAGACTTTGAAAAGTCACCTTGTTCCAAAAACCCCAGAAGTATAAGTCCCCGTTATTATGTGGGTCCGGCTCTTGTTGTTAACCAGCATGGTCTAGGTTGATAAACTTTGAAGCATGTTTTTTCTCTGTTATGGCAGCACACTAGCTGCCTTTCTGTCCTCAGTGGTGTGGTCCTAAAGGTTAGATTTATGAAAGCATGTATGGTTTTTTTGGCACTTAATCCTTGCTGAAAATTAACAAAAATGAAGGTCCTAAACAGTGTTCCCTCTAAGCTGAGTTAGTGTGAGCTAGCTCACAGTTTTTGTCTTAGCTCAGGAAGGATGGCACCAGAGCAAACTAATTTATGCAGTAGCCAAATCGCTTGCTCACAACTTTAATGCCAGTAGCTCACAAAGTAGAATTTTTGCTCACAAGACTTCACAGCTTAGAGGGAACATTGGTCCTAAGTATTTCTTATATAAGCACATTTAATTATCCCATCAAGGCCTGTTGAAATCTAGATGGCTTCTCTTTCTGTGATAATCTTGCCACAGCCTCTCAGGTTAATCCAGAATCCATTTAAACCAGAATACTTGGATTTAAGGGATTTACCCTGTGATTAATCCGCCCACTTAGAATTAAGTTCTTTTGAAAGTGGTGAGGCTTAGTTTCCACATAATGAGTTTTGAACAAGGGTGTCAAGTTCATCGAAGTGAAGTCTTGGTGGCACTTGGTTTGCTGAAAGTAATGTAACTTCATTATGTTTTCATTAAAAGTCAGCTCTGGATCTTTGGTGAGAGGGGTAGCTGCCATAGTTGCTTATTCCAAGATGGAGCAGTTGTGACCTATCAGCTGATAGCATCTGAGCTGCTGTATCTTTTGACTGCTTGAGTTAAGCTGCAATACTAACAACACTTACTTAGGCATAAGCCCCATTAAATAAAATGGGCCTGACTTCTGAGTAAAAATTAGTAGGGTTTCACTGTCAGATATTATTAATTGAATGAACAGTTATGGAATATTGTCTAGATATTTTGAAAACTTGTGTCACTATTGAAAAATATGTAATGTTATTGAGAGTGATGCCTTTACTGCTTTTCTTTTGTAGCTTGTATACTTTTGATATGCGATTTCTTGACAAGCCTTTAATGGTTCACATGGATCATGTGTCTGCAGTCCTTGATGTGGATTACTCCCCTACTGGGAAAGAATTTGTGTCTGCCAGCTTTGATAAATCTATTCGTATTTTCCCTGTAGACAAAGGTCACAGCAGGTCAGTGATTTTACAAATAAGCTTCTCTTGGGACCCTTCCTCCTCCCCCAGCAGTCTCAACACTCTTATGAACTCATTCAGTGGATATGATACCAGATTTCCTCCTGCCGTATTCTGAAAGGGAAGCAGAAGGAACAGATTGTTGCTTGCATTTTTTTACATTGATGGTTACTGAAATTCCACTTTAGCAAAACAGTAGAATTTTACAGTATGCAGACTAGATCTCACTGTTTCTTAAACCCTTTGCTTTTTCCTGACTAGCTGTCAGTTTGGTGGTACCTCTAATGCTGAAGCAGTTATTTTGGCTGGAATCCAAAGAGCAACTTTAGCATAGGCTGAGGACTTGTGCTCACCTGGTGGAATTCCTCTTCTCCCCCTCCCCCAAATCCTTTCACTTTCAAAAGTCTTTTTGTATGCAATGTAATGGGCTTCTGTACAAGAAAGGAGTCCAAGTTACCTTTGGATTCACACCGCTAGTTGAAGGGATCATTGGATCCAGGCCGCAGAAACTAATACTGCTTGAAATCAATGGAGATTACTCCCTCCCTATCTTGGGTTATCCAAAGAATGTAATTAACTTGTGGTAATAGACATCTGGGCATGGCAGTGCTGCATACAAAAAGTCTGAGCAGTTTGGCTGTGTAGACAATTGAAGGCTCAGTTTAAAATCCTGGCAGACCAAGTCCTCTGCTTCTGCTGGCATGAGGCTTCTCAGTCAAAGCATATATGTTTAGCATTCGTGCTAAGTGGCACTGTAAATGAAGCATAGACACCAGCATATAAAAACTAAATTTCTCTTTGTAAAGCAGTTTTGTCTCTTGGCAGTTCCAAATAATTTATCCTAGAATGCCTTTGTAATCTATCATTTAAGATTAGACAGAATTGGGGGGGGGGGGGGGAAGCCTAAATTAAAGATAAGAAAAATTGGAATAAAAAGGGGGGGGGGGGGAAGCCTAGTATTTCTCACCCGAGTCTGAGAAAGCGATTCTTCATCTACCAAAACCACGCTTTGGAGGTTGTTTTTAGTCTAGTAGGTTTCCTTCATAGTTCCAAGGACTTGGATGCCATGGTTAATTTGATGTTCCTAATTAAACCTTGAGTTTGAAACTTGAGAAGATAGAGGAAACAAGAGACGCTTTTATTAAGTTCATTGTAAGCCCTTGGCAACCAAGCCAGATGTTTGTATGATTAAATGAAAGAATCAAGTTATTCACCCATATGCTATTGTGTTGCTCTTGTCCTTGAAGAGTGAATTTCAAAACCTGTGATGAATCTGACAGATTAGCAAAAGAAAATGCATAAAATGATTTTTTGAGGACCAATAAGGAGAGTTTTAAGAAAATTATTGCACTGTCAAAGTGTATGCCTTTCTATGTTTTTTAAAGTGAGAGTGGAAGAACTTCTGTACTGCAGATACCATGCACTTCAAAGTATTGTGACGAGGGCATTCTAGGAGTGCCTCTAAGGACCTGTCATTGTGGATCAATAGAGCAATTCCCAGTGTAACCAGTTACTGGCAAAAAACAACTAGAAGGATAACTTAGGGCCAAGTTCACCACCCGTATGTAAGGATTTATGTAAGGATTTTCATTCCATTGGCTTTTCAGAATGTTTGAAGAACTAGTGTGGAACAGTGGTTGACAGGAAGGGCTGTGGCTCAGTGGAAGAAAATCAATTTGGCATGCAGAAGGTCCAAAGTTCAATCTGTGCCATCTCCAGCCAGGTGTTTCTGCGCCCTAGGCAGGTGCAGATGCCAACCTCCCGGTAGGGCCTGCTTACCCTTTTGCTGCCTCCTCCTCCTCCCCCCCAGGGGGCAGAGGGAGGGCAGGTGAGCTGCAGCGCGGGTCTGGCTCAGGGGCGGGGCCGGGTGGCATGGAGGGGCGGAGCTGCCCGGGTGGCAGCGCGGCTGGCTGGCCAGCCAGGTGGTTGATTGGTCAGTTGGGGATTGTGCTCCCAGCCGCCATGTGCGGAGAGCCGTCACGGCAGAGGCAGCAGCGTCTCCGGAGCCCCAGCGGTGCCGGCTGCTGCTGCTGAGCGGAGCCGAGCGGCATTGGGCGCTCCGGAGCAGAGTCCGGCCGGCTGGCTGCTGGGCCATGGAGCTGCGGGCGGGCCACGGCAGCGGAGGAGGAGGTGGCGGTAGCAGCAGACTCACGCCGCACCAGGGCAGCTGGCCCGCTGGAGCGCTGACACACACACACACTCGTGCACACCCTGCTGGGCCTGGGTGGGGAGCCTCCCAGCTGGGCACAACACAGCGGGCCCCGGATCGCCAGCCCACGCCGGCCGGCTGCCACAGCGGCTTCCACACCTGGTGCCGCTGCTAGGGCTGCGCTGAGCCGTGCCGAGGAGGAGGAGGAAGAAGAGGACCCCCCCGCGCCCCCCACCCCCCATGGCGCCCTCTGCCTCCTCGCCTCCTTCCTTCTTCCCTCCCTCCCCTGCTTCCCTCCCTCGCCACAGAGAGAGAAAGCACGCGAGAGAGGGGCGGGCGGGCAGAGACCCTTGATCCCCGCCGCCTTTCTTTTCTCTCTGGGAGGGGGGG